CCGCGCGCCCGCCCGATTGGGTTTCCCGAGATTTGGTGGCGGAGAAACCAGAAGCTAGGTGCGCGGCGGTGGCGGTTCGGCCGCGAGCACCGCGCGGGGCTCCCCGCCCTGCACGGCCACGTGACGCCCGGGGACTCGCAGATTGGGGCGGGAGCGCGGGTCACGTGCTTCCTCTGTTTCACACTCAGCCCCCCCCNCACTCAGCCCCCCCCTTACTCTCCCCCTGCTACCCTCTCGGCTCCTACCCGCTCCCCGCCCCCTCCGCAAAGTTCTTTGGGCATCTCCACCCCTCCATCAATTGTCAATGTTCCTCGACCGCAATCAATCAGTTATTTGTCAGCTCTTGTCAATCCGCCCGTGATTTATGTCAGCTTTTGTTGCTGATTACAAGGCGGGTGCGACTTGAAGGGAGAAAAGAGAGAGAGAGAGAGACGGAGAGGAAGGAAGAGATGGAGGGGAAANTGAGAGTAAAGTGCGCAGGTGCGGCCGGGGCGCCGAGAGGGGTGGGAGGCCTGGGGTGCGCGCCTCACCCCTCTCGGTGGCGGAGACGGAGATGCACCCTTCCACCTTTGGGGACTTCGGTCCGTTGGGGCCGCGGAGCTCGGAGCGGCCTCCGGTACCCTAGACGGGCGGCGGCGATACCTAGCGTGGGAGGTTTTGTCTCCCCTGGGATATTCCCTCTGGGGCAAGTAGTGTGCGGGTGCCAGGCCGTTAGCCTGCCGCGAACCCCTCCACCCCCTCCGTAGCGTCCTGACCCCAAACTCCAAGGCGTTTTCCCAAGAGCCACATCACCAACGTAACCTTGAGTCCTGGAGGTCAACGGTGGGGTATCCCCCTCAATTCTCGGACCCCCCCTAGGATCATGGCTAGGACTGCAAAGAAGAGGCCTGGCCGTGGGTGTAGGGGAGAGACACGTCTCAGGCTCGCTCAGGGCCCCTTCCCCAATCCTACCGCGCTGTGCGCCATCCCAGCCGGCTTGGCAGCAGGCGTTTCTCCGGTCGGCTCGCTCGAATTTACTGGGACGCGTAGCTGGGACGGACCTGCGCCGGGAGAGCAGAGCGAAGGAGGGAGGGAGGGGGCGGCTGCCTGTGGGAACACGGGCTTTTCCAGGGAAGCGGAGCGGGACTGCCGCGTTCCCCTCGATTTGCACCGTCACTCGGGCTGTTTGGAAGGAAGAGGGGAGGCGCTGTGCGTGTCTCCGAGTACCCGGTTCTGGGCGCACAAGTGTGTGTATGCCTGCGCCGCTGTGTGAGCTGTCAGGGCTTTGCTAGCGTCCGGAGCGAGCTCTGGGGTCACCTTCAGAAAGTCACAGAAATTGGAAGGGAGGCGAGAGGCGGACACATCCCCTCCCTCGGAAGGACTTGGAAGACTTCGAGTCTCCCCTCCCCCACTTTTCCGCCCCGACTCTTCTTTTGTTGTCAATCCTTTTGATAAATGGCGGGGCAGGGAGCGCTGGGAGCCGTGAGCCAGTCGGTACCCGCGCGGGAGCGAAGGCCGGGCCTGGACACCGGTTTCCACCCGCGCTCCCGGGCGCAGCGCCCTTCGTAAGTGCCGGGGTCGGACTTCGGACCTGCCCTCGGCGTGCTGGCCCTCTGCTCTTTAACCATCCCATTCCCGTCTCCCCCATTTTTTGTCTCTTGTCTCCCACTCCGCACAGGTACCGAGAACTTTCCGGGGTGAGTTTTAGAGTTTTCTTGTAGGCGTTCATTTTCTACGTTTTAATCTTATCCCTTGGTGCTTCAGGTTGGTAAACTTCATGAGATGGTAACTTGACTAAAGATCATTTGGAGAAGAGGCGAGTGAGGCGGTGTGGATTTGGGGCTGCTGTTTGCTGGTGTGTGTTTGCGTGCGCGTGGGTAGGTGTAAGAACACACTTGGCGTTCAAGGGGGTTTGGAGTGCCTGTGCGACAACTGAGGAAGGTGAGTTGGGGAGACGGTGGCGAGGCCACAGGCAAGGTCGCCAAGGTTGTCCTGATCGTCTTTGCGGAGCAAGTCCCAGGTAGTCCCTAAACTGTCTCTGTAGAGCGGTGTTTGGGAAGCCGCTTGTATCCTGCGGGTGTGTGAGTGTCTGCGTCACTGCGCGGCTGTCGAGGTATCGGCCCGGATTAACTGTGGAGCTCCCAACTCTGCGAGCCCTGGGGTGGGCCGCGTGGAGCCGCGGCCTCCCCGCGAGGCCCGGACACCGAATGCTGGGGGCGGTGGCCGTCGCTGGAGGTGACTGCTGGAGTGCTCCCACCCCCTCACCCCTGGCTCCAGACTCAGTTCTTTCCCTCTTCTGGAATTGGGTGCGGAAGCCCCAGCGCCCAAAGCGTGGGGTAACCAGAGAGTGGCCCCTGGGTCCTGCGGAACAGGCTGGCGCCGTGCTGCGCGCGTGAGGGTCGCGGTCCGCGCGCACTCGCTCTTCCCCAAAACCCAACTCCGAGGGTCCGAGCGCACGGGGGCGCCCGGAGGCCTGCTCGCCCCGGGCTTTCCCGAGGCTCCAGCATCCGAGCAGGCGCTTCTCGCCAGGGAGGCCAAATCCCCGAAGGCCTTGCGGGCCGTGGGGGTGGAGGGTTATTAATTACCCCGCGCTCGGCCTAATGCCTCCAACCCCCAGCGGTGGTTGGCGTGGATGTCCTGTGGATTTTATTTGCACACAATGGAAATGATTTGTCGTCTCTAAAAAAGGAGTGGGCTTGGCAGATATTTGAGGAGGGGGTGGGAGGAGAAAGAAGGAGAGAGAGTTGAGGCAAAAAAGTTTGAAAATGCCTTGAACTATCCACTGTCGAGATGGCTAATCAGTATTGAGGCCGGAGGGCAGGCGGGCCGCCTTTCACCGCCGCTTTCCTTTCATCTCGGGCTCGGCGGAGGCGCTCAATTAAAAGCCTATCAGTTTGTAAGTAAATCAACGCCTATCAGAGTTGTCACATCAAACAAAACGATTATTATTGCAGCCCGCCTCCCCTATTAATCTCCCTCGAAGATAATCCGCCTGACAGGTCAGACCCGGCGAGCTGGAAAGCCTGGCCCAGAGCGCCCAAACAGTCCCGGACTGGCGCTCGCCCCTGGGGGCCGTCCCACCCCGGTGGCGCCCCGCCTTGTGGCCCCCTAGGCGGGGTAAGAGAAAAGAGCGCTTGGAGGCCGCCAGACCCAGACCTGACCCTCCCGACGGGGAGCGGGGTCCGGCTCCCGGGGCTGGCAGGACACGGTTTCAGGTGGCCCTTCCTCTTCTAGGAAAGGCCTTAAAGGCGCCCACCTTGCCGGAGCCAAAGCCGGGCCTGTTCCAGGAGCCTCACCTCGGCCTGCGCTCTTCTCGGCCGGCCTCCCCTGGCGCTCGCCAACCCCCCTGTGCAGCTTCTCTTTTTTGTTTCCTCTCCCACTTCTTTCTTGTCTCCCCAACCTTTTTCTTCTATTCGCCGGTCCCTTCCTTTCGCCCTGCCTTCTTGCCAAGGAATATTTCCTGTTTTCTCTCCCTCCTCTCGGTATACGGCATATACTACTTAGGCACAGTCACACTCTCAGAAGCAGGGCATTCTCAGGGCCCGGGTTATTTCTCTGCGCCAGGGCTGCCTCATGAGTGTGCGCAATTCCCAGGAACTCATGACAAAGTCCTGCCTAATTTTATTCCCCAAGTAGGGGCTTCCCAAAACTCTATGCCTGTTTGAGGATTGGGTGCATTTGGAGGGGTGAGAGACAAAAAAAAAAAAAAAAAAAAAAGGGAGAGACCAAGGCGGTGATCTCACTGTTGGTGGACAGTTGCAGGCTCCCTATTCTGGAATTAGTATTTGGTCTTGGAATTTCACTGCTGCAACGTCTCGGACATCACTGGTGGCGTTGCCAATACTCGGAGACCTAGTGGGCATCTGGTCCCCAGCACTGAGTATGTAAAGGGGTGCCTAACGTTTCAGAAGTAAATACACTCTGACAACTGCTTCTGTGGCCTCAAACTGACGCTCCAGGGCGGGGGTGGCCTCCACAAGCGCATGGGCATG